AATACCAATAACTCGTCTAAACTTTTATATACCAAAACAATTCCGGGAGCTATCAGAACTATTGAAAATATTCATCTTAGAGTTGTTCCACTAGGTTTTAGAGTTTCAATTGAAGGTGCATTAATAAAGGACAGAATAAATAAAAGAAATAAAAACCCTAAAGTGAATTGAATTGCATGTTTTACCCGATCCCTTCGCTCCTCAATTGAGACTCAAATTGATGAAAACATTGTAAATTAAATTAATTTTTCCCCCCTTACAGGGGGATATTCTAATTTATTTTTCGGAGAGTATTTTATTCAGAAAAAATCTCCTAAACGGAGACTTTTTCTGGACTAACTCTTTTAACTTAAAAAAATCCTCAAATTTTAATTAATTATCTTCCCTAGAAAAATCAAATCTTAATATTTACAAATTTAAATTGATCGAAATTCTCTTTCCTTTTTAGTTCATTCTGACTCAATTTCAGCTAAATATTTAGAAACCTCTTTATCTAATAACTCTCTATTTGACTGTTTCTGATTTTCGGAAGAATATCAATCTTTAAAACGTTTTTGTAGTTCTTTTCTTTTATTTCGAAGGGCAATTCTTGCTTCTTCAACTATTTGCTTACTACTCTTTATTTTTTCCTCTCGAATTTCTGCTGTAGGTTCAGGAATTGAACATCTAAATTCGCTCTCATTGAGATTTATCGTAATATTAGGTTTTGCTTTTTTAATAGCCTTTTCTATTTCATGTAAAACCTTCTGAGAAGATATATAAGGTTTAATGAGTAAGACTCTAGCTTTTTCCAAATTAATAGAGGCAAGCTCAGCTAAATTCTGAAAACTCCCCTCGCTCTCTACCTTTAAAGAATAAAAATGCACAGGATTTAACCTAGAAATACTAAATTCCTCCAATTTTTCGTTCATTCTCTTTTTTATATTCTGAAAGTCTTTATTTAAATCAGAAACCCAATCTTTCTCCATTTGAATAGATTCTGAAGAAGAAGTTTTTTTTCCCATAATTTATGATACTTCTGAAAGGGGAATCTCCTTATTTAGCGCCTTAATAAAACAATTTTCTATTTCTTGATTAAAAACTAATAATTTCAAATTATTCTTTTTTGCTAATTGTAGCGAAGCTTGATCTAATATCTGAATATTCTCGCTAATTAATTGATCGTAGCTTAATTCCTTATAGAAAATTGCATCTTTAAAAATATTTGGGTCCTTATTATAAATTCCTGCAACCCCTTCTTTCCCGATTAATATTTTTTGAGCTCCGATTTCGATTGCCCTGATTATTGCTGCGCTATCTGTACTGAATTGAGGCTCTCCTAAACCTCCAGAAAATATTAATACCTCATTTTTATTGAACAGTATTTCAATTTTGGACAGGTTGTATTCCTCAGTCACTCTCTCTATAGAAAGAGCAGAAAAAAGAGTAGAACTGACCCCGATTTTTTTTAAAGCCTTATCTAAAACGAAGCCGTTCATCACAGTTGAGATCATACCCAAATAATCTCGCTCATAAACGGATAGAAAATTTAATTTTCCCTCCTTACCTCGTCAAATATTTCCTCCCCCAATAACAATTCCAAGTGTATACTTTTTCGATAATTGCTTAATTTGATTAGCCAAAGCCATTAATTTAGATTCGCTATAAATATCATTATCTCCCCCCACAGCTCCTCCACTTAATTTCAAGAGTAATTTAATTTTGTTCATTCTTAAAGAAGTTTTAAATTTTTCCTTAAGTTGAAATTCAAATTAGGGGACTTTAAAGTTTTTTTAATCTCTTCAAAATAAGTATTTAAAAAATAAAAATATCTTTCCAGAATCAAAAGAGAGATTAAATTTTGAGTTCCTATTTCTAACACTTGAGGAAACGGATTCAACTCAAATTGCTGAGCATTCTTATTAAATTCAGCTGAATTACTTCCTAAAAACACAGGTTTTAAATTTAATGACTTTTTAAAAGCAAATATCACAATTCCATATTCTTGAAAAACAATATCAGGTCTGAAAACTAAAAAGGAAAATTCTTTCATTAAAACACGAATTTTTGGAATTTTATAAATTAAATAATCTAACGAAAGATAAGTATATACCTCTTGATTATTTTTTAATCGAATTAATTTTTCAACTGCCTCAAATAATTCTAGATTAATGTGTTTTAATTCATCAATTCAAATTAATGTTTTTTTAACTTCATTATTTTTTTCAATAAAACTTCTAATCTTATTTAAGGAAAAAAAATCAGAATTAATAAATTTTTTTTGTAATTTGAAATTATCAGTAAATATCCTTCAGCTTTCCAATAAATCTAAATTCTGAAAAATTAAGCGATTTACATAGTACTTATTAAATTGAAAAGAAATTCAGTGAGAATTTCGAACACCTAAAAATAATGCAATATTTTCCCTTAAATTTTCCACTTTTTGACTATACTCTAACGCTATAGTATGAGACTTATTTTGCAAACTCCCAGAAAATTCATGAAAATATTTTCTTATAACTTCTTCTGGAGAAAAATAAAAATATCTACTCAATTTACTTAAATAATTAAAACAGAAATTCCAAGAATTGTATTTACAAATCTAAAAATTTAAAGAAATTTTTTCCCCCTTGAAGGGGGATATTACGCAATTACAATTTAAGCAAGTTGTGCTTAATAAAAAATTATTCTTGGCGATTATTCTCTTCATATATATCTTGTTCGATATCTAATAACGATGCTTTATACTCAACATTTAACCTAGGATTATAAATCGATAAAATTTTTGCTTTTTCAAAAAAACAATTTTGAAACTTCAGTCCGTTTAAATAAGTTTCATAAAGTTCACTAGATTCTTCAATATTTAAAGAATTATTATCCTTTAATCTCAAATAAATCAGTTCATTTGAAGTTAAAAAATATTTATCACTTATTGCACTATCGTCCTCTTCCTTTTTGATTCGTGGGCTGCAATTTCAAGGCAAAGTAATTTCATATTTCTTATTTCGTAAGAAGTCAACAATCCTATTTGTCATCATCCTAATATTATGTACTGTATAACAATTAGGATTTGACATACAGGAATATTTACTCTGCTGCGTTTTAAAAAACAGGTTTAGTTGAGATCATCGAACTGAGAGTTTGATTATCTCATCACTTAGAAAGTGTGAAAAAGGAATTGTTCTTACCTTTTTCAAGATCTTTTCCACTTCCATCATTTCAAGTGGAGCACATACTTTTCTATTCAGAGATAATTGAAAAGAAATAGAAAAATCTCCCTCTGTAAAAATATATTTGACTAAGTTAAATATTGTTTTACGCATCACTTCTTCCGGAATATTTTCATTTTGAATCCCAAATAAAACTTCATTTGAATGAGAATCAATTTTATTTCTCTCAAACCTTCAAAGAGGGATAAATCTTTGACTCAATTTAATTACTTGAATTAACTCATTTTTACAATAAAAAAATCACTCGCACCGGCTGGAAAAATTATTTAGAGAAATATTCATTTTCCCTAATTTATCTAAAGCAAGTAAATTAAGCTTAATGCAATTTTTTTAATAATTCTATGAACTTTTGATTTTGAGCAGCAATAATTACTTTTCGTAATCCATGAACTTGATTATTAATTTCTATAAGTTCTCTATTTAATTTACTTCAATTAGCATGATATTTGTCCAATTGTTTACTATAAACTGATATTTCTGATTTAATTTCTTCTTCCTTCTTTACAAATTGAGAAAACATTTCATCAAATTCAGCCCTTTTATTATTTAATTCTTGTTGTTTTTGAATCAGTTGTTGCAGATTCTCTTTATTAACCTCACCATCACCTTGACTTTCTAATTGATCTCATTCTTTTTCTAATTTTTCTTCTTCCTCAATTAATTCTTTATTTTTAGGTTGATGTTCAGCCGCTTTCTTGTAGTTCTCATTGCCCTCAGATATCTTTTTTTCTCGATCTTGAGCCATACTAGATATTCGTTTACCCATCTCTTCAGATTCTCTATACAATTGATTCTGTTTATGAGTTAAATCCTTTAGATATTTCTCCATATTTCAATATTTATTGAATTCTTTTTCAGGAAGTATTTTTAAGAAGTATTCTCCAAAAAGAATATCAGACATTTCTACTTCTTCCTTACCTAAAGAAGAGTTAAAAAATATTTCCCTTCAAATCATCTCTCGAACATTATGGTTTTCTAATTCAATCCAACTTAACTTACTATTGTGAAACATTACAGACAAGTCATGAACAAGTTTATCAAGAATTTCCTTCTGACTATCACTTAACTTTACTTCAGCCATTTTAAACTAAGAAGAAGCGAGACTTCTTATCTCCCAAAAGAGATAAGAAGATAAAAAAGTGCTTAGCTTACTCTAGCCTAAAACTCCTATTTCACTTTTGACTTCTTCTGTAATTTTGTATTTTTTGCAACCTTTATAGGTTTTTTAACTGTTTTTGGGGCTGATTTTACAGGAACGCTACCAACTTTAGGCTCTTCTTCTTGTTCCTCATCTCGCTTGGGTCTACCCCTCTTCTTAGACATTGCAGGAGTTTCAATTTCAAAATTATCATCTATTTCATTTTCAATTCCTTCTTTAATATTGGAATGTCTAAAAGAGTGCAATTCTCTTCTATAGTTGTGTTTCATATTTCTACCTTCTTGCTTAGGAGCAGAAAGCTGAACTTTCTTAAAAGTCTCTTTCTTGGGTATTGACTTACTCACACTTTTTTTAATAGGTTTCACTTCTGCTTTCATCGTTTTAGGTAAAGGATTAACCTTTTTCTCTACTTTTTTAGTTTTCACTGGAGGTCTTGTTTTCTTTTTAGGTTTCTGAAATTTTTTAAGACCTAAATTTTCAAGATTAACGTAATCAGAGGCAGTATCTAGTAACGCATTTCAAGATTCATTCATTTTGGCTTTCAACTTCTCTACTTTACGCTTAGTACTTTTTAAAGATAATTTACTCTTAATATTCTTAAGAAAACTCATATACTTAACTTCTACTAATAATTAGCTTAATTTTCGCTTGTCTCTCTGTATCTCTTCAGCTTTTCTCTTTGCATCTTCAATATCTCCAACATAAAAGAAAGCCTCCTCAGGTAAGCTATCTACCTCTCCGGATAATATTGCTTTGAAAGATTTTAGTGTTTCCTGTCGCGTCAAATATTTTCCTGGAATATTTGTGAATTTTTCTGCTACAGAAAATGGTTGAGAGAAGAAATTTCTAATTTTTCTAGCTCTATATACTAGTTTTTTGTCTTCGTCAGAAAGCTCATCAATTCCAAGAATGGATATTATATCCTGCAGTTCCTCATATTTTTGTAATACCTTCACTACCTCAGAGGCAATTGCATAATGTTCTTCTCCTACTATTCTAGGGACTAAAAGATTTGAAGAAGAAAGCAACGGAGAGATTGCTGGGTAGAGTCCAAAGGAGGCTATTTTTCTATCCAATACAATTTTCGCATCAAGATGAGCGAAAATAGCTGCAGGAGCCGGATCTGTCAAGTCATCTGCTGGAACATACACTGCTTGAACAGATGTAATAGATCCTCGCTTAGTAGATGTAATTCGTTCTTGCAATTTTCCCATTTCATATGCTAATGTAGGTTGATATCCAACAGCTGAAGGAGTTCGTCCTAATAATGCAGAAATTTCTGATCCTGCTTGAGAAAATCTAAAAATATTATCAACAAACAATAAGACATCCTTTGAAAGATCATCTCTAAAATATTCAGCCATTGTCAAACCACTGAATGCTACCCTCAATCTTGCTCCAGGAACTTCATTCATCTGACCAAATAACAAAACAGTATTCTTCAAAACTCCACTGTTCAACATCTCAAAGTACAAATCATTTCCCTCTCTTGAGCGTTCACCTACTCCTACAAAAATAGAAAGACCCCCATGTTTGATTGCAATATTGTGAATTAATTCTTGAACAACTACTGTTTTACCAACTCCGGCACCTCCAAAGAGACCTATTTTTCCACCTTTAGCATACGGAATTAATAAATCAATAATTTTTATTCCAGTTTCAACTAATTCAATATTTTCTGTCTGTTGATCAAATTTAGGAGGACTTGCATGAATTGACCTACTTTCTAATCCTTCCTCTTCTAGAGGAGGTAAGTTATCTATTGTCTCCCCAATAACATTAAACATGCGTCCTAATGTTTGAAGACCTACAGGAACTTTTAAGGGAGAGCCTGTTCTAATCACTTTCATTCCCCTACGAAGTCCTATCGTTTGAGTTAATGCAATTGTCCGAACTCTCCCATCACCTAACAATTGAGCAACTTCAAATACTGCAGAATTTCCTATAACTTCTTTATCTTCAGAAATTTCTATTTTTTCATAAATTGAGGGTTGAGAGCTCAAGGGAAATACCATATCCACAATCGGTCCAGCAATTTGAGAAATATATCCTAATTCAGGAATTTTTAGTTAAAGATTAAAATGGGGAAAATATTCTAAAAAATCTAAACTTAAAGTTTATACCTATTACTTTTATTTAAGTTGTAAGGTTTTGAAAATGGATAATAAAAATTTAATAAAAGGGCTATAATTGGCTATCGTAAATTTTACTTCCATTCTCTATTTTTCTGGCGGTTATGGTGAAATGGTTAACACACCTGATTGTGGTCCAGGCATGTATGGGTTCGAATCCCATTAATCGCCCCATAAAAATATGCAAAACTTAAAACATTGACTCGGTCATCCAAAAGATAAATAAAGTGAGGCAACAAATGGTACACGTATATAAACTAGATTCGTCTCTATTTAAATCTGTGGAAAAGTCTATTTGCATTTTCAACACACCGAATCTTTGAATCTATTTCCTCCCTCCGTTTAAATCAGAACTAATTAAAGAGGTAGTAGACGCTAGTGGAGAAAGAGAAAGATTTTATAGATTTAAAAAATATTCAACTGCCACAAATAAATATCCAATCTTTTGATTTTTCTGGAAAGATCATTGATTCAATCTCTTATTCACTCTTAAACCAGACAATAAATCTACAATTTTCTTAAAAATTGCAACTCCCCCAATAATGGAGGAAAATGCAGTAAAATACATTGACTTAGACTTATGTATGAAATTAGATGAATCCAATAACTTACATTTTTTAGAAAGTGAAGAATATATAAATAACTGTGAAAAACTCAAATATTCTAAGAATTTACAAAAGGAGGTTTCTAAAACTATTAGATCAATTTTTAACCTTCTAAAAAATAAGTGATTTGAAAAATTCAGAGAGGAACAATTTATTGAACAGTTGTGGTCTCAAGTAAGTTCTAAATTAAATAGCTCTAAAGAGGAATTACTAGTTAAGCAAGAAAATAGAAATTCCATAGAGAGATTAGAAATCGAAGAATTTGAATAATTAAAAAATAGAAATAAATCGGAGGGGCAATTTGCCCCTCCTTGAGTAACTCCTTTAGAACATTCTAAGTCTTACACTTCAATGCTGAAGTAATTTCTGAAATTTCTTGAGTAATTGTAGCTTGTCTTACTTTTTGATATATCAAATTGTATTCAGCAAGCTTTTCTTCAGCAGATTTGATTGCATTTGTCATTACTTCCCTCCGCTGATCATGTTCCGATATTTTAGATTCAATAATTGCTCTCAATAACGCTTGCTCAGCATAAACAGGAAATAATTCAACTACGCAATTTCTTGGATTTAACCTATAGTGATATTTTTCATATCGAATAAATCTTTTTCTCTTTTGAAAATAATCGGAGGGAGAACATAGCGGTAATAACCTAATAATTCTAAAATCCTTATCTATTCCCCTATACAAAATTCTTAAATAATAACATCCTCTCTTAATAAATTCCCTAAGTAGTAATGTAGTAATATCATGAACTTTCTTAACTATTTCTTGTTGAGGTAATTCAGAATCATAATAGCTAATTATTCGATCTTTAGTTTTAGGATTAGAAGATAAGAGAGAGATTACTTTTTTTCCAAAAACAATAATGAAGCTACGTTTGCTATCAAAATTATCTAATAAATGTTCAACTATCTGCTTATTAAATCTACCACAAAGAGAAAGATCAGATCCTATTATTATTCAAAGGTAGGCTTTTGCGGGAGAAACTCCCTTTAATTGAAATTTCAAATTAGACAGTTGATGGTCATGTTCATAACTAGAATAGAATTTCTCAAATAAAAGACTAATATTCGCGTGATAATCAGTACCATCTTGCATCATCTGCATAAACCCCTTTAACTTAGTTAGGGATATTAACTGAAGAGCCTCCGCAATTTTCAAAATAGACTTCATATCCTTAATTTTTCGAGAAATATGAATTAAATTAGCCAACTTTAATTAACTAATTTTGTAAAAGTTAGGTTTACACTCCCCCAAGAAGGGGGAGTTTTAAAAAAAGATTTATATACTAATTTCCCTACTAGATGAAGAATAAATATCTCTATTAGCTCCCTTAAATATTTGAGAAAGTTCAGCTTTTATATCAATTCCAATTTTCTCCCCCAATGGAAGATCTTTATACAACCTATGAACTCTTCATGACTCTAAAGCTTTTTCACAAACTTTAGATACTAACTCCACTCTTTCTACTTCAAGTATTAATTTACTAGAAATTAAGTGAAGTAACAAAATCTCATCTTGAGGACTATAGGGATTTAAGGGTGATTGCTTCAAGATAGGTAATATTCTAGAGCCGATTGCTAGCACTTTCTTAGACTCTTCATTTAAATCTGAGGAAAATTTAGAAAACTCTAATAATTCAAAATATTGAGAAACAAACAATTTTAAATCACTAGTCATGCTTTTAATTGCAGTTTCTTGAGCTGAGCCTCCTACCCGAGAAACTGAATTAGATAGATCTATAGCAGGTCGTTGACCAGAATTGAAGAGATTTGTCTTTAAAAATAATTGACCATCTGTAATGGAAATAACATTACTGGGAATATACGCAGCAATATCATCTGATTGAGTTTGAATAATCGGTAAAGCAGTAATAGATCCTTCTCCTTTTTCCTTAGAAAGTTTCCCAGCCCTCTCTAACAATCGACTATGTAAATAAAAAATATCCCCAGGAAAGGCCTCTCTTCCAGGGGGAAAATTTAATAAAAGAGAAAGCGTTCTATAGGCAATTGCATGTTGAGTCAAATCATCATATACTATTAAGACGTCTTTCCCATTTCTCATTCAATATTCAGCAATTGTAATTCCTACAAACGGAGCTAAAAACTGAAGGGCGGGAAAATCAGACGCACTAGCTACAACCATAGTTGTGTATTCCAAAGCACCTACACGTTCCATTTCCTTAGCTGTCTGAAAAACTGTTGAATTCTTCTGGCCTATTGAAACAAATACACAATTAACATTTCGACCCTTTTGATTAACAATAGCTTCAATTGCAAGAGAGGTTTTTCCTGTTTGTCTATCTCCAATAATTAGTTCTCTCTGACCCTTTCCAATAGGGATCATAGCATCAATTGCTAATACTCCTGTATATAGAGGTCGATTCACAGAACTCCTTTCCATAACTTCAGGAGCAGCATCTTCCACTTGAGCTCACCCATCTACTTGAATAGACCCCTCCCCATCTATAGGATCCCCAAAAATATTTATTATTCTCCCTAATAATTCATCCCCATACGGAGCTGAAAATTGCTTACCTGTTTTAATAACAGTCATTCCCTCTGCAATTTTGTAATAATTTCCAAGAGCTACTGCTCCTACACTATTTTCCCTCAACACTAATATAAGAGCTTCAATCTGTTCATCTCCAATTTGTACAACTTCATTTAGGGAGCATCCTGACAATCCTGAAAGAATAAGAATTCCATCTTGGTTAGATAAAACTTTACCTGTTTCTTCCTCTCTCAACGCTTCTTCATTATCTTGAATTAATCTCTTGAGAATATCTGCATACTCCTCTAATCGCTGACTTGTCTTAGACATTCCTACTTAAGAAATTTCCTCTTTACTTCATTTAATTTTTTAGATAATGAGCATTCCATAATAGAATCATCATATTCCAACTTAATTCCAACAATCATCTCTTCTGAAATTAAATAATTAAGTTTAACTTTAGTTCCAAACCTCTCTATTAGTGTTTTCTCTAATTGACTTTTTTGATCATTAGATAATTCATTAGAAGTATGAACTCTTATGCATTTAAAACTTAAAAGATACTCTAATTTATCAATAAGAGTCTCTAAGAAAAGAACTAAGTGATTAATTAATCCAAATTGAGATAGCAGTAGAATTGTAGAGGTTAAATATTTCTGTTGAAATGCAAATAATCTCACTAATTCTTTTATGAATTTCTCTTTCTTTGGAAGACTTACAGAAGAAGATTCCAAAAAATCCAAAAAAACAGGATATATTTTTAAAAAATGCAAGAGACTTTCACTTTCTTCACATAATCTTGAATAATCTGACTTATTAGAATAACAGGCAACTAAAGCTGCAGAGAATTTCAATATTCTCTCTCTACTCTGCTCTATCCCCTTTGCCATTCTTAACTAGGTTTCATTTTCGCAGCATTCTGATTTTCTCGGAAAGCCGTATCTATCTCATTTAAATAGCTACCAATAATTTGAGACTGCACTTTCTTATTTATAGAACCTCTAATTAATTTTTCAGCTAGCTCTATAGAAAGGGAAATTATCTTATCATTAACTGTTCGCTTAGCTTCTATCTCAATCTCCTTAGCTCTTAAATTAGCATCTTTCAAAATCAAGAGTTTTTCTCTCTCCGCTTCTTCCATTTTTGTCTCTAATATTTGTTTCTCTTTCTCATCTTTCTCCGATAGAAATTTATTATGTTCATTCACTACAACTTGACGACGCTCTTGTAAACTACTTAAAGCTGCTTTTGTCTCTTTTGTAGCAGAAGCTAAATCATAATGAGCTTGATCTAACTTTTCCTTCTGTTTATGAATGAATTTATTTGTTGGTTTTCAAAAAAAATAAATAATAAACACTATTGTTGAGATTGAAGAGAGAATATGGGCTGCTATTACTTGAGGTGAAGCTGCCAAGAAAAAATTAAGAAATGAGTGAAATAGTTTCCCTAAACCATTAGAATTTTCTGCTACTTTCCGTGTTCGACATGTTTGGCCATCATCCAATATGAGAGAGTAAGTAGTAGAAAAATCATTGAGTGGAGCGCGCCGTCAATGACATCAAAATAAAAGTGGAGCGGAAATGAAGCTATTGCATTGACCGCAGATGATCCGGCAAGTCCTAGAGAGGTTTTAAGAGATTGAGCAAATGTACTAACTAAAAACAGAACTAAAGCGCCAGCAAAATAGTTTCCCCATAATCTCAACCCCAACGAAATTACTTTACCCATCTCACCCAATACCTTCAATACATCAGGAATAGGAACAACTTTTTTACCCTTACACTTTAGTCAAATGAAATATTCTCTGCAGAAACCTCAACCTTTAGCACCTACACCGATTCCAACAGTACCTACAAACACTACAGCAGCAACACTTAAAGGAACAGCAGCAACAGCACCTATCCCGCGAAATCCAAACATACTCACTAAACTTGTGCCTCAAAAGTAAAAAACAATATATATAAGAAAGGGAATTGCAAATTTATAACGATAGCCCAACATTTTGACGGTAGTTAGCTTTACTCACCTAATAAATAAAAAAACTAAGAAAGTA